TCCTGTGGACTTCAACTCCCAAAAGCACAGCTGGCTGGGGGATTCTGGGAGTTGAAGTCCACAGCAATTAAAGTCGCCAAGGTTGAGAAACACTGCCTTAACCACTACACCAAACTGACTATTGTAGTGAGTGAGGGCAGGATCATATGTTATAATACTCCGGGGCTCTTTCAAACTTTCGGAGCTTGGTATTTTCCGATTCCCATTTCTGACGTATGGGAATGAACTCAGACTCACACAGACAATTGTTTGTGTTTCATCGTATTTATTAACATCATCTGAATAAACCTGGCTTTGCCAGCATCAAAGGCACTGTGAGGACAGAAGAAAGACTGGAATGGGTAATCCCGCCTGTCCAAAACTACCAAGAAAATCTTTGTTGCATAGTTTACATGATTTTGACATCAAAGCTAATAGATGGAAAATAGCTATGTGCTGCAGTGAGAATTTTACATTTGACAGACACGCAATCTCAATGTGGCACACTCTTTGGCTTTTGCTGTTCTCTCCCCCTCCCCGTAAGCAATAAAACAGTTCTGCTTCCTTGCTTTCTAGAAGAGTAGGCAGAACATACCAGGCTCATAAAATGGCCCATAATAGAATCTGATAATGCTATTTCAAAGTACTTTACAAAATGCGGACACACAGTAAATAAAACGACTCACTTACACAATGCAATAAAGGAGGGGAGGGAAAAGACGAGGATGGATTTCCTTCATCAAGTTTCTCAACATCTGGAACCTCCCTCCAATATCCAATCTGCTCTTATATACCTACATACTGACAGGTTTCACGCATCATTCTACACTCTCATTCAAAATCATGTTTTGTTGAATTAAGATAGCTGGATGAATTCACGCCAAGCCGAGAACCATGTTCCCCCGCCCCCCCACACACAAATCACAATATTGCACTACATCACAAATCAACCCATCCCATCTTGGCTTAGTACAATCTGAATTAAAGATCTGTTCTAGAGGGCACGAGACAAGTAGTAGTTCGATGCTAACCAAAACCTCCCTATGAAAGTCTTGGGACAGCTGGAAAATATAACGATAGGGTCATAAACGAAGGTGGGTCAGTGGTAGCAAATAGCACACGTTATCGTGGGAGTAAAGGAGCCGACAGAGAGCAGCAGGGCACTACCAAGAGTCTCTCTTGGGGCCTGCAGGAAGCAGCAACTGTGGGATTGTGACTTTCTTGTTTCTTCAAGATAGAAAGGCGGAACTAAAAGGTTGCATCTGCTCATTCAGCTGAATGTGGCCAAGTAAGCAGTCTTTCTTCAAACAACAGGCATGGACGGTGGAGATAGGAGCTGGGCTTCCGAGCAATCGCAGAAATCCAACATCTCCTCAAGGGGCAGGGGTGGGAGAAAAGGTTCTTCAAGCTTTTTTCCTTGTTGTGCTGTTTTTTTTTTGTTTCGTTTAATTAGGAGGGAGAAGTGAGGGAGTTTTTTCCCCCCTAAGAATACCGCCACTTGCAAATATCGAAACCTGTCCAGTTTTGTTTTGTTTTTTTAATCCCACAAAGTGCCTCATTACTCTACACAGGCAGATTCAACCAAATGTGGATACATGGGAGGATGTTATGAGTGGGGTCCGAGCGGCTCAAAATTCTGGAAAACAAAGGAATTGTGGGTCCAGGACAGTCTGTAAGATTGATATCAGGTTTAATGAAATTCCCACTAAAAGGAAGTGTTGGGTGGGCCTTGGAGCTAACATTAATAATAGTTTGTTGGTCTTTCATTTCATAGGGAGAAAGTTGATATCAGTACTTTAAACCATGACAGTAGGAATTCTCACCACCCTCATGATTTGGGTTTTTTTCTTAGGGTGGGGGGGGAGGCAGACCAACAATACCATAACAATAGTAAGAATAATAATCTAATGTAGATCTCATAAAAGGGGACCCACTTATTCTTTTCCTATCTAGTGTAGCCCCTCTACAAATCTTACAAGTTAAAGTGACAGGATAAAATAATACGCACACAGTAGCTGAGACAGGAGCTACGATATGCTCTATCCTCAATCAAGACTGGCTCGGATCTTATTCCAATGCAAATAAATTGGGAAAGCTCTACAGTTTGCAAATAAATACGCCGTTATGTATCCTGCTTCAGGAAAGGGATTAAATGAATTGGGAACCCAACTCATTTAAATACAGAAAATGAGAATGTCGGAGAAGTCTAAATCAAATGAGTACTTACAAAAGAAATATTTCTAGGAAATTCTGGTGCAGTCTCTCTAGGAAATTCCACTCTGACAGACCCAATGCCATCGGTGAGTGATACTGAAATACAGCTCCCTCAATTAAGGGTCATTTCCTCCCCATAGTGAAGGCCTTCTGCATATCAGAAGGCATGTAGACAAAGCCTTGGGAATGGCTGGATAGCCTAAGCTGCAAAATCTGATCCTGCAAGATCACAACATTAAAGTAAATCCCAAACAGTGGTTTTCTTCCCAGTTTCCAGAAGGCTTTCCCAGGTCTGCGTTTACTGAGCATCCTTTGAATGCGGTGGCGAGATCCCAGAGGTTACAAGGATGTGCTGTCGGCAACACGGTTTGAATCATCGATACGAGTACCCAGGTGGTGAACCCTGGCACCGTCTGAGCAGGCTCTGAACGAGAGACACCTAACCCCAAGGTAGCTTCAGAAGACGGGCCTCATGGATCCAGGACCTCCTTAGGCAACTTGCCCTATATCACAAAGCGTTTCCTAATGAGACAATGGGTAGGTGCCTGAAAAATATGTGCATTTCATAGAACATATCCAGCCTAACAGAACGTAAATCTCGTAACTTTCTGCTTTGCTCCAGGGATGTTTTTAAAGGAGGAGCAGACATCCCTCAATTTGGGTACCAGAAATCTGCCAGCGGAGCCAAATGTTGCAGCCTAGCTGTGCAAAGAAAGAGGCTGTGCAAGAGCTCCTTTCACAGTTTTCACGCGTGCTCTTATGTTTCGGCGAAGAAAGGCTGTGATTGGTTTGGTCTGAAGTTTCTGTGTTGGTGAGGGGGGCAGCAGCTGAGACGTTACTCCCCAAAGTCCGTGGGTACAGAGGCTCGAGACTGGCAGTGGAGCTGTGCAATTCCCACTAGTGAAGAACTTGTATTATCTAGGGGGTATTGAGGCACCATGTGCGTGTGGGGGATGGAAAGGGCTGGCTTCAGAGATATTGGCAGTGTGGGGCAACCCCTTTCTCCCCCCAGCCCTAAACTGAAGCAGAAGAATAAATTAATAAGTGCCAGAAATAAGTAATGCCCCCCCTGCAGGGTATCCTCAACTGCTTCTTGGGTGGCTGGGACAAAAACTGGCCATCTTGTGCAGCTCCAGAGGCGAGAGTGTCGCGGTTAGGATCCTTCTCATCAAGCCAGCAGGGAAGGGAGATTGGAAGGCACCCAGAATCACCAACCTATCCCACTGGAGAGGGTGCATCTTCACCTAATATCTGACAGAGTTCACTGAGACGTTGCTGCATTTCAGGGACCCCAGCCAGCTGCTGCTCCAGGCGCTGCTTCTCCTCCCGCAGGGTGAGGCGGGCTTCAGGGTCCAGCTTCTCAAACCGCCAGCCACCCTCCCCGTCAAACTGGAGGAGGTGGGTATGGTACTTCCTGAAAAATAAGGATGGAAGCGATTGAGAGAGCCTTCCAGGGCACAACTTCTGCATCCAGCCTGCCATCGTTCAGCCTTGCTCGAGGTCAACCTCGCCCACACTGGCCCTGCTACTGTTCCTCATTCCTCTAGACAAATGCCCTATGCGTAGGAGGGGTTTGGCGGAGGGTATTTTCCACTAAGCTGTCTCCTGGGAGGGGAGTCAGAAACAAAACCATTCTCAGTCTCCAGGGATGAGACCATTGGTGCTCCTGCCCACACAATTTCCTGCTGAGGACATGACTCCCTGCTTGGGAGAGCAGCCAGAGACATGAGAGAGAGAGAGAGAGAGAGAGAGAGAGAGAGAGAGAGAGA